TCCACGAGAAGAATGTTGTTGATCAGTGAGTGAGTTTGGGACTTGAGTAAGTTAATTGGTAGGTGGGTGGGTGGCTGGGTTGGAACTATTCTTGCCTGGAATCCCCAAGGGGACAGATCAACTTCGATAGTCATTTAAACTGGCCATTGGCAATAATATTTACAGTTGAGCACAGCTTGAAGCGTAGGATGCAATTATACACGTATGTTTATAACCATGCAGGACGTCCGCTTAAAATACGACCACTCCTCTCAGTATGATCTATTGATTTACTCTTAATTACCTTCACGCCACGCAGACAAAAAATGCAGTAATCACCTCAGCAAATGGCGATGACGATACAACTATGTGTCTTCAACAGATGTCACATGCACGAGGGCTGGTCGAAAGGTTCCAAGCCTTACAAGCAAAACCAACAATTGTGAAAGTGTTTTAAATTTTATTTTTCAAGATTATCTCCCTGCTTTGCATCTCATACCGATAGTGAAGCTCTCAATTCCAGTCAGGAAGAGGTTTTCTGAAGCCACCCTGAAAACCCATTCACGGCAACTTTGGGGTCATCGTTGTGTTCATAGCGCTTTCCACGTAGGTGTTCTTTCAGTTTAGGAAACAGGTTGAAATCACTTGGTGCGAGGTATGGCGAGTACTAATGGTGAGGATGCTCTTCAAACCCACATTGTCGCACAGCAGCCTTTGCAAGTCGAGAGGTGTGAAAAGAGGCATTGTCATGAAGGAAAGGGGTAGAACTCCAGCAGTCAGCATTCCTCGCCTCTTTTCTTTGATAGAATCTCTCAGGCGATGAAGAATATCAACATAGTAGGCACCGGTAATCGTCTTTTGACTTTCTAAGTAATCAACAAGGATCACACCCTTTGCATCCCAGAATACAGTGGCCATAACATCCTTCACTGATCTTAAAGACTTGAATTTCTTTAGTGTCGGAGAAGTGAAATGGTGCCATTCCATGGATTGACGTTTTGACTCGGGGTCATAGTGGGGACATTTTTCATCACCAGTTACTACTTTCTTTTGTATTTGACGAATTCCTCCTCAATTTGCTATATATTTTCTCAGGCAATGTCATTCCTTTTGTCCTTAAGGTTAGAATTTAGAAACGTTGGCACCCAAAGAGCAGATATCTTGTTCATCTGTAAATGTTTATGATTAATTGCTTCAATGGATTCTTGGCTTAGACCTGTATCTTCCTCATATCTACCAGTATAGGTTTTGCTTTTTCCTTGATTGAATAGCTGGAATACTGCGGCGTTCAACAACAAACAAACAAACAAGCATCATTGATAGAAGTTAAGGGACGTCCAGACCTTGGGTCACCATCAAGGCTTGTTCTCACAGCCTTAAACGTAGCTGCCTAACGTTCAACAGTGGAATCGCAAGGACACTTCTTCCCATACATTTGTGACATGCGGTCATAAATTTGTTTGGGAGTACTTTTCTCTAAAGTAAAAAAACCTATGACTGCTAGGTACTCGTTCTTTTCCATGTCTGTGTCCATTTGGACCCCTATCACGTTCAACTGGTCTCAACAGGTCAAATACACTTGCAATGAACTACTCAAACAATGTATTTCATTTACTAGTTCACTTTCTTATGGCCCATAGTTGAAAGTTAGTAGGGCTAAGAACCTTTTGACCAGCCCTAGTAAATAAAGCGACAAAACCCGTTCCAAATCCAATAGAAATCTCTGCATAAAGCAGAGTCGATTGTACAATTCCGACTATATCATAAGCATGTGTTTATGAATCACTATCAAATAGTAATGATACAAGGTGTTCGCGAAAAGGTAGCACCCATCGCAAACACAAGCAAACGCAAACGGTTTATTCAAAATAAGTATGATTTTATCAACGAATATTCAGCTGTTGTTGATGGAGCAGACACAGTCAACAGACTTGCCTACTGTGCACGATGTGAATCTATCCATACACGTCATACATATGATTATTGATTAATGTTATGTATATTATTCCGTCACATGCAATATTTCATTTGTAATAACTCTGATTATTTGTGTTATGTTTCTTAATTAATGTTTTATGACGACAGACCTGCACCACCCGTAAGTAAATTTAACTATGCGACCGTGAATACATGGTGTTTTTTAAGTGTAGAAAGGATATATTAGGGTTTCCATATGTCTATTTGTGATCCGGTTTGTGCGAAGTAGTGAAGGTTTAACTTCAAATACCCTGGATACCGTCCCTGACACATTAACAGTCCTGTCTTTATTGATACATTGTTTGTTAATGTATATGAGAGTTCGATAAAACAACAATGATGATTTGATAACTCAAACTGAAACTACATTCTAATTTCAAATGTAATAACATGGAAACAATCCTGCAATATAAATATAAATGTGCTCCGAGAATGATAATCATGTGCATATAAATCGCGTAATGTTATAGTCAGCGACCAGTAAGTCGAAAACCAAAAACCAGAACAGGTAATGACATTGAGTTTCTCTTTGCATTGCAGATGAGACTGACATTTCTACATGTCGTACGTAGATCTACGTTTATATTCAGCGGCATAATTTCCTAAGTGATATTATAATATTTTCCTCCTTGGCAATTGTAAGCAGCGCTTCATAATACATATTTATATGTTCAATAATAATGGCAGTTCCAGTTGCAAATTCAAAAAACTCGTTTACATGATATATGTAAAATGCTATCTGATAGAAAAAGCTTGACTACTTGACTATTGATTTCCCCTATAATGGATGTGTATGAGATTTAACCAATTCAATCGGATGTATGCAAATTAAAAGTAGAGCCTAATGGAAGGTTTACTGTTCAATCACAGATGGCGTTTGAAGTGTTGAATGTATCTATTAGCTGTGAACTTAAACATTTGATGCACGATATCCTGCTTGCATGCAAAAAAAAACGACCAAACCATTTCTATCTTCATAAGAAATCTCTGCTAAAAGCAGAGTCCGTAGTACGAATCCAACTATATCAGAACCATGTGTTTATCTATCACTACCACTTAGTGATGACACCAGGTGGCACCTCGTATCGTTCCCCAACGGTGGCACCTTCGAGGGCAACAGTCGCCTCTTCCAGCTAGTTTCTCACCCCGTCGGAGAACATGCAGTGTCAAATGCACTCACTCGGTAAGCAAACAGATGTTCTCTTCACGTAAGCTATTATTCAGAAATACAATGCCCAGTATGATATATTACAATGACGCATGTATCCTAGGTAATATGCACAGATTGTTTCATATTGTGGGCAGATCGCAGCCTTTTTACAGTCAATAGGCAGTTCAAATTCTAGATGTTGTTAGCTTACACTTATAGTTTTGTTAAACTCTTACTGTCGGTCCTCGATGACGATCCTGCTTTGAGTTCAACAACAACAAAACAACACGGCAGCGAATTTTTTTCTTTTCGTAGGTATTAAATGACAAAACCCTTTCTTTTATATATGAAATCTAGCTGCATGTAGACGACTTCTAATCGTCTGACCCGTAACTGGGCGGTTGGGTAGCCAAGTGGTGAAAGCGTTCGCTCGTCACTCTGAAGACCCGGGTTCGATTCCCCACATGGGCAAAATGTGTAAAGCCCATTTCTGGTGTTCCCCGCCGGGATATTGCTGGAATATTGCTAAAGGCGTGGTAAAACCAAACTCACTCACTCACTGACCCGTAACTCGTACTCCAGCAGCCTGTTGAGCAATTTGATTCGCCGTTTCAGCTCGATTTCGTAGAGCGTGGAAAAATCGATAAAATCGATAATCGGATAAATCGATCCTGTACTCTTGTCGTTGTTCTGGGACGCCCTGAATCGGGTCGGTCGTCAAGATTTAGGGGTTGTTGGTACCTGTTCCATAGTCTGCAAATCACAGACTGTGAAACAAGGAACATACTGGCCACTACACACTGAGTTCTACGAGTTTCCAGAATGTCGTCAATAGCACGATGAGCAGATTCAATACCATTGACAGTATAATGTCGACAGAGATGAATGGACCTGCCTTGAAATTGTCAAAATCTGAAATAATACCCTATGCAAGTCTGTGGCGCTACTGCGTGAGACACGTGCAAACTACTATCGGATGTGTTTTGGTGTTACGTTTTTACAGATATAATTATTCTTACACAGGTGGGACAAATACTCAAAGATCAAATTTTTTTTTCAAAAGTGGAGTAATGATGTTGCCTCGAGCTCAAAAGGACTTTATTATCAATATCTCAAAATGTATCCATTATTTGACGCATATCTATCTTTTCCAAAGCGATTCTATATTCCATTACTAAGATTTATTACATCTAATCATAATCTACCGATAGAAACTGGCCGCTTGGAGAACCTACCACGATGTGAGAGAACTTGCAATCTTTGTAAATCTTTTTCTATTGCTGATGAATTTCATTACATATTTTACTATTAAACTCATTGTGAAGCAAGAAAAATGTACTTACCATCTCTCAAGTATCCAAGTATACCAAACAACAAAAAAAGGCGCTAAAGAAATTATTAATCTGTCAAAATACCTCTCGAAGGTATTATCTCTTACAAGAACAGTAGAATCTTAACTCCAGCCATCTTGTATAATATCTTGTATTTATTTATTCTGTATTTCATCATTGTATATTTTTCATTTGTCTTTGTATACTGTATATGCTCTTGTACCACCAAACGTGTTTTTTGAGAATAAATGAACTTGAACTTGGATGTCTGTCATCAACACTTATCTTTGTTCTAATACTTAGCATTAACATTTATATTATTTATCTCCTACTTTTCAAATCAATAATCGGCCATTCAGCAAGCACATACAATATTACGTTGTATTATTGATATCATTTGACATGCCACATGTTTACAAAATCGATGGGAATGACACTTCACCATATAGAATAGGCGACTACTCTCAGTGGTAAAACATCACGTGGACCAGTCAGAAGGCCGTTATTTGGAAGTATCTATATAAGTTGCCATCGATACTGAATCAGCGTCAGTTGCAAGTACACTCTGGGTCTCGCCTCACAGTGACAATGAACGTCTTGGTTTCAACTGCTGTAGTTTGCCTGATTGTGCACGTCACTGCGGACCTTGGCGGTAGCAGCTTACTTGGTTACATAAAGGTGTACAGTCCTGGTACTGGATTCCCAAGTAAGTCCTTATATCATTCCTTGCACGCGAGCTTTTGGCTAACGATACCAGTATTAGTTTCTTGGTTTAGTTATACTATTAGTTGCTTCATTACAATGTATACATACAACATTCAACCACGTGGCTATCTCTTTTTCAAATTCAAACTCAGAAACGCGGAGTTCCTCTTGCTCAGTCACCGCATTTGCACATATCGCATATCGAAGTGAAGCTGAGTCTTTGAGCCACCCGGAAGTATTATCAGAACTGACTTGGCTGTCGCTATGTTCACGCTTCACATCGCTCTCGCGTTTCGCACATTGACGATAGAGGGATGGTAATGTCCAGTGCCACAGCGTTCATGTCATATAATCACGGACGGACACTGATTCCATAACCAATAGGCCATCTCCGTGGTCTAATAGAAAGGGCTTTTGCCCGGAGACCGTATCAAAAGACAAGGTACTTGTTGTTTTCCTGCCTGGCGCACGGCATTTAGGGTATAAAACTAGGACTGTTCGGCCCGGAGTCATCTTACCGAGGCAAGAGAGTTAATTGACTTTAAAAGTCCAGTTTCCACCCTTGCCGAACTAGGCTGGAATTACTGGACTCAATCATACCACCACCAGTGGCTATTACCAGTTATGTTCCTTCTAAGCCTCTTCTATGGACCAATCAGATTCCACCTCTCGTATCACTTGCATTTGCTTCAAACAAAATGGAGGCGCCCAGTCAAGACGATCTGATCGATAATCAAGATCTATATTGTGATAAAAACGGGTCTAACACCGCGAAGTGCATCAAATCACGTGAGCACCTTGATTACAAACGTGAAAAGATTTCGAAAATATCTGTTGACAACGAGTTGGCGGTGCACATGCTTTGCAAATCTTGCAATCGACCAAAATCTGCACGGCAGTTTACGAACCGGATTTCGATTTCGTTGTGCGATTTTGATTGGACTATGCATAGACTCGTTAGTCCAGCCACAATTTAACTCCATAATACCAGCCTAGTTTGGCAAGGTTGGAAACTGGACTTTTATAGTCAGTTAACCCTCTTGCCTAAGGATGATGGCCCGGAGTCTGAGTGAGATATCCATGTTTAATTGACTGCAGCATCAGTAGGTAGGCTAGCCGGCTCTGTACATCATCATCATACTACTACTACTACTACTACTACTACTACTACTACTACTACTACTACTACTACATACTACTAATAAAAAGTAATAGTAATGATAACAGAAAAAAATGAGTGTCAACCAAGCGAAGTGCCATATCCAATCGGCCAAGACTCAGCTTTTCAAGAAGAGGCTATCTGAACGACCACTGCATCGAGTTTATGTGCAATGTGTTGAGAAGATAAGCAGCCCTGCAGAGTCCGTTGCTTGGATGAAAAAGTGAAACGGAAGGTTTTCTGTTTGCTGCTCAGGACCAGTCACTTCCAACTCGAAACCGTCAATGTGTGATTTTCCATCAAAATGTAAATATAAAATGTAGATCATGTAATGAATTTAATGAGTCAGTCCAACACATTGTCAGTGGATGCCCAGCTTTGGCACAAACACAGTATCTTAAGCGACATTATGGAGTGGCTCGATCATTTTATTACCGTCTTTGCCATGTTTGTGGTTTGGACGCAAAGGTCCATCCTTGGTACGACCCAGAATATGAAGAGGGCGTCATGGAAAATGAGCAATACAAATTTCTTTGGAATAGGCCCGTAAAACAGCCTTAGACATATCTAGGCCAACAAACCTAATCTTGTCCTTTTTGATAAATCCAATGAAATCATTCATATCACTGAAATTTCCGTCCCTTTTGACAACAATGCGATTGGCAAAATTCAGGAAAAACATGGCAAATATGCAGACCTCGCTTTCAAAATGTCACGCTTGCATCCTAAGTACCAAGTTGTCCGACTCCCCATTGTTCTCGGTGCCTTAGGTTTGGTACCTTCCAATCTGTTGACTGACATTGGGAGAGTACCCGGGTTTGCTACAAGGAATACAGCCCTTCTGACAATCTAAGTAATGCAGAACGTTGCTATACTCCACCTGACTTGTGACCTGTGTATTGTGCCATATCATAATGACCTGAGATGTAGACGAAAACCTTGAAAGCATTCCTCGATTTCCTTTAGGCTTGCCAGTTTGATGTTGGTCTACGAAGTTCAATGCCTGACATATATATGCGAGTAAAGTGTACTCGTCAGGCTGTGTTTCATGAATTCAGATCGTCAACACACCTAAAACATTGGACTTAACTCATGCCGATTAACTCATTAGAACTGCTGACACCAAAGTGTTCGGATATATTTTTGCCATAGAAGAACTGACATAAGCAAACTGCTGCTCGTTCTGTTCCAATTCATATGCAGGGATTCATACGCTTGTCACAAACGGAGCGCGCCTGCAAAACGCCTCTCAGACGTAGGGTAAACACCGTGTGTATCATCTTCAGACACTATTCGCTAACTAACCATTTCAATATTGTTTACTGTCCAATAACGGCGTTTAAGGAGCTTTCTAATGAGAAAATGAAATCTTGACTTTGATTATGGATACGGGCGTATAAGCTTCTGGAATGAGACCCGCAAACCTCATCTCAGTAAAGTAATGATTCCTCTAACTGAGGCGTCACGTTGAAACTTGTTTCATAATGGCACTTACAAGGATTATATCTCAAGCCACCTGCTCTTTTCATTGCTCAACCTTAGATAGAAGCAAACGGAAAGGGTACCCGCGTGACTTTAGGGGTCAGCTGTTCAATGATGTATAACAAGTGCATGTCCTGCTGCTAATCCAAAGGGGCCGTGTTGGAATCGGTGTAAGGATAAGGCCCTTTTAAGGATAAGACTATAACCCCGTGTTGACAGAACGGGTTTCGGGAATAACGGGACTAACCCGATCCAAAGGGGCCGTGTTGGTATCGGTGTATCAAGTTGTACATAATTATGTGCATTGAAAACACAGTATGTTTATCCCCTAATTACAGATTCCACATAAACGCATTCTTCTTGATAAATTGTGAAGTGTTGGATTACTTGAATGATGTTCATTGACTTTCATTTGAACAAAGGTTTATTTGAACATAAAAGCTATACAAAATAATTTGTATTAGTTACAAATGTATACATATTTCAATATCATTTGCATGTTTCAACTGTTTGTGGCCATAAGACACATGAGGATATGTATGTATCGTTGAGCGTTTATTCTAGAATTAGACGGTACATGATTATCATTGACAAGTAGTTTTACCCGATTATATTGTTGCAACAATATAATTGCAGTGTATTGGAAATAGTTTATACACGGTTAATAAGTCTATATTTTGTGTCATCTACTCGACACACCTTGGTAGCAAAAGAAAGAAGGAATCACATTTAATAAACAAATTTTGCAAAGTTTGCAGATAAACCTATTACATTATTAAAGAAAATACATGTAATTGGAATGATATTTTGCTGGAGGAAATAGGAAGAGAGTACTAACAAAACATGAACTGTATATGACAACATAACAAATAATACAAATAAAAGGACATAAATCACTAAAATACCCTCGTAGAATCGGGTACGTGTACTTTGCTCATGATGTTTTAGAATACATGGGATGTTACCTTGATGACGTAAACAGGATGCTCGGTGCTGATTGGCATCATGGGTACACAATGACCCCTGGGTTGTGTTTCAAGCTGTGCTCCAGAGGTGGTCACAAGTATGCTGGGTTGCAGGTAAGCCTTTATTTATACCATTATGTGGGATGTGTGTGTGTGTGTGTGTGTGTGTGTGTGTGTGTGTGTGTGTGTGTGTGTGTGTGTGTGTGTGTGTGTGTGTGTGTGTGTGTGTGTGTGTGTGTGTGTGTATGTGTGTGTTTTGTTTATTTTATATTATTTATGTATTTTTTAATTTTTTTATTTATTTATTTATTTATTTTTATTTTTTTTATTTTATTTATTTATTTATTTATTATTTTTATTTTTTTTTGGAGGGGGGGGAGTGGTTGGGTGTGTCCGATACTAAATAGTTTTAGACCTTGATCTAGTAGATTTACATATTTCAAGGTGTTCTCTTCTGATGTAAAGTAAAGTGATAATTTCCTCTATTTCAGGGTTACATATATTGCTTCTGTGGAGATTCCATCAACATAATCAGATATCCAAAGAAACCGGAAAGTGACTGCAATCGACCTTGCAAGGGAAACACAAGTGAGATCTGTGGCGGGAGATTGAGAAATTCCCTTTACAGGTTGTTCTAAAAACCTAATAAAATCATCAGCCGATCAAACATTGAGCTTTTTACAATTCTATGTCAAATATACATAATATTTGATTTGGAGTCTTGTCTCTTTAAATCGAACAAACAATAGTAAATAATTTATATCTATAAACCTAGTATGCATCTGGAAAGGTGGCACCATCATCACTATTTCTTGAATGGGGAAAAACAACTGACTAAAGTTCCAATTTATACAAGTTTCGATATAGAACGTCATATCCCTCCAGCTTCCAGCTACCCGAGGTAAGGGAGTTAACTGACTCTAAAAGTCCAGTTTCCACCCTTGCCGAACTAGGCTGGAATTTCCAGGGTGGATCATAGCGCCACCAGTGGCTATTATTAGTTATGTCCCTTCTATGTCCCTCCTATTAACCAATCAGATTCCACATCTCATATCATTTATTTCAAACAAAATGGCGGCGCCGAGTCTGATCGATAATCAAGGTATATATTGTATCAAAATGGGTATTACTTCGCGAAGTGCATCAAATCACGTGAGAAAATATCTGTCGACGCCATGTCGACGCCCAGTTGACGCTACACATCCTTTGCAAATTCTGCAGTCGACCGAATTCTGTACCTTGAGATCCATGTTGTTTACGAACCGGATGTCGATTTCGAAAAGCGATTTTGATTGGACTATGCATAGACTCGTTAGTCCAGCCAAGATATAACTCAATAATTATTGCTGCCTTGTCCGGCAAGGGTGGAAGCTGGACTTTTGCGGTCAGTTAACTGAGAGACAGCTTAATGTGTGAGGAAAGCCCGAAGTGATGCAGGTCTCAGACGTTTACCACTTCGGTGAAACCCACGAGCACGGGTATGGTGCTGACAAACCTAGAAACATAATCGGGGCGAACCGGGATTTAAGCCCACAAGTGTCTGACGTGCCCAAGGGACGCAACTCTGCACTGCGAATCGCGGCGCCTTAAACGACTGGGCCACCCGTGTCCCCTCTTTGAGGAACTGAGCTGGGTGGCCCAGACGGTAACGGAAGATAGTGATCCACTTGGACTGAATGTCTTGAGGATATCATTTGCGTAGTCGAGTGAAATGTGCCTCTGTGTTCGAGCGACTGGTCAAGTTGTCAAAGTCTTACCATATATCTGTGAAGAGTTGCGTCCCTTACACGTGCCAGGATCTACTGGTAAGTGTTTTGAATCTAAGGTCCGCTCTGATATTGGTCTGTTTATACCAGTTGCAATATTGTATAAGTAGAAAAATATTAGTTGAACACATAAATAGAAATATCGGCATCTAAATTCAGTCAAGTCCCGTTAATCCGACGTTTAAACACGTTTAAAGGTGTTTAAATTCTAAACATGTTTGGATTATGGGGGATGTTGTGTTCAGATGGTGTTTAGGTTATGAGGCGATAGCTCGTTTCATGTGTTTAGATGTGCATACCGTTTAGTACTGAAACACATTTCCAAACGTGTCTTGAATGTGTTTACATTTTCTACACAGTTTTTACAGTGTTCAAATAGTGAAATATTCTAAGTAAATAAGTGTCAGTTACTTATTTTCCGCATGTCCGTGCAGTCTACCAGGCAGGAAAGTAAATTTGCTGTTCACTAAGCGAGTGATCGTGTTGTCATCCAAGATGGCGTATGATGTTGTTCGCGCCTTGAAACAGTGGTCTGCCTAGCAAAACCTCAATTATTCACAGCACACCGAGATATAGCTTGCATAGTAACATCGGCGTAAAATAAAATTCATGTTCACATAATCCAACCATTCAACACTGAATGATATAGGGACTACTGTCTAGGAGCATTCAGACGACCACCTGATGGATTAAATATAGATTAACATGATTATGATCTACTGGACGTGATAAGACCATGAAACCTGGTGTCGAAGCTTCACACGATACGTTTTTAAATACGACACAATACGGAATAATATACATACGTTAACACACGTTTACACACGTTAACACACGTTAACACACACACACACACAAATATATATATATATATATATATATATATATATATATATATATATATATATTGAATCATATTACATTATTATTAATCATCAAAATTATATATATATTACATCAAGATTAATCATTTAGATAAATTGAAGGTTCACATAATCACATAGTCGAAGAGCAGGCGAAGAAACTGCAGAAATATACTCAACAACAAAAGTTCCTGTGACACCAATATTTGTGTATTTTACAAACAAGTAAAGTTGGGTTTTCAATATTGTAGTATATGTATGGAACCAAGTCACAAAAACGCAACTGCTACAGAAAAGCATGCATACCATGCAAAAGTTGACTTTTATGCAAGCCCCATGCATTTCACTACCAAAGAATGGGTATAAAAACATATGCGTTAACGGGATTCCATATGCATTGTTTAGCATCGTGCTGACAACAACCACTCAGAAAAACAACAAAATTACGCAATTATTCAACATTACGAAATGCCACGCCTGTCCGAAAATGAGCGTCTGCGAGCCATTGGTATGCTTGAAGCAGGATCGAGTCAACGTGATGTTGCAAGACAATTTAACGTCCACAGAAACACCATTTGGTGTTTATGGCAACCTTGGCAACAGACGAACGCAGTCAGAGACCATCCTCGGAGTGGCAGGCCAAGCGTAACCAATAATCGACAAGACAACTGGATTCGAACAACCTACCTACGAAATCGATTCCAGCCAGCAACAGTGACTGCAAACAGCATCCCTGAACTTCGACGAATATCTTCAAAAACCGTACGTCGTCGCTCCAGATGTGCAGGGATTGTCGCCAGACGTCCCATTTTGACAGGAAACCACCGTCAAGCACGTCCACAGTGGTGCAGACAGCGTCTACGCTGGACGGCCATGCAGTGGGGACAAGTTCTATTCACTGACGAGTCTCGTTTTCACCTCAGCCACAGCGATGGACGGATTCGAGAGTACCGACGTCGAGGTGAACGTTACGTCAATCATTGTGTCAAGATCGGTTCTGGGGCGGCAGCGTTATGGTATGGGGTGGGATTACAGCAAGACAGAGGACCCGTTTGATAGTGGTAGAGGGAAATCTCAATAGACAGCGTTACCGCGACGAGATCATCGGCTCTGTCTACCGTTTTTGCTTCGTCATGGCCCAGGCATTACCTTTCAACATGACAACGCCCGGCTAAATATTGCTCGACTTGTTCAGGATTCTCTTCAACAAAACAACGTGAATGTCATCCCCTGGCCGGCTCGCTCCCCTGATCTCTCACCAATCGAGCGCATGTGGGATGAGATGGATCGGCGCCTTCGACGTCAACCACGTGTTCCACACATACTCCAGGAACTTCGAAACATGCTCCAGCAGATATGGACAGATATCCCACAGGACTTTGCCTGGAACATTCCATGAGACGAAGATGTGTTGCTTGCATCGCAACCAGAGGTGGACACTAGGGCTGGGACGGGTAACTCGGTTACTCGGGTCGGGTGGGTCCTGAGTAGGACCCGGGTACCCACAGGACTACCCGGACCCGTGGTTAGTCACGTGATATATTGTTTAATGACTTTAGCTCAGTGGTTACACTACAAGTAGCTGATGTTCGCATTTCTTTCTGACGATGCACACATTCCTTTCGACTTGTAAATGCTTGAGTAAAGATAAAGCTTCAGTCAACTTCAGTGAACGCATGATCTGATTGTTTGATACATGTATCTAAATTGTTTTAGCCAGGGCTGCGCTTAAACAATTACCAATCAAACATTTTGTTCCCTACTCTTGAGACTTGCAGTGGGTACCCGGGTAGGGTCAGGTCATAGGGGATCGGGTACCCGGGTAGTAAATTTGGAACTCGTCCCAGGCCTAGTGGACACACACGCTTTGATTTGTAAATTGACATTTTGGCATGTTCATGGTTTTTATGAAATCAAGCATTTTCTGAAGTCTGTATGGCAAATTAAACCATTTGAAAACTTACACGAGTCTTTTATCCGTTGCAAACCGAAATTGTTTCAGATTTGGTAAAAAACAAAAGTTTGCATTAAATCTTATTCAATGTCACAGGAACTTTTGTGCTTCAGTATATTTGTACAGAATTGGAGTGGAGAGATTCATGGTTACTTACGTCATGATCCAAGGTCACCCTTATATCTATCCGGAAATGTCGCCAGAAAAGACATGTAAAAAATCAGTTTCTAAATGAAATATGACCTTAAACTACCTTAGTATATGAAAACGTAATATTATACCAGAACTTTTTATTTAGGCACTTTCCGAATAGCTGAAAGTCAGAACATTACAAGGCGACTATGCTTGTCGTAAGAGGTGACTAAGGGGGTCGGGTGGCCAGGCTCGTTAACTTGGTTGAGGCATATCATCGGATGCTAGATGCTCGTGATATCAATCACTGGATTGTCTGATTCCAATCTCATTCAAATCAGACCTTAGTCATCACTATCGCTAAACAAAGATCTGAAGACATCCCATTAGGGGTCACGTCAGAACGACCTTTCATCCGACCAATCAGAGCGTCGCTTACCAGATCATGAAAGTGACAGTCGGAATGTGATTTCTAATCATACAACCTCGAAAATTTTAACATGGGGTATTCCGAACGATAGTTACGGGTTTAATGACTGAATCCTTACAATCTAGACCATCTATTAGCTATTCCAGAATGTTCTTTTGTTTAGGTTCACATTTGTAATCGAGAATTTGTCAAAATATGTTTCGAAGCGTAGTCGCCAATTTGAAATTAGTGCCGTAAAGCACGCGAAAGGTGCCTTCTGATTTGTAATTCCATTGGTCGGTCAAAGTTCGCGCAAGGTCGGTCTGACATGACCCGTAATGGGATGTCCTCAGATCTTTGTTTAGCGGTAGCGAGAATTATTATCTGATTTTAATGAGATTGGTCTGGTCCAGATTCGATTATTTACAGACCGCCGTCATATAGCTTGGATATTGCAGAGTGCGGCGTTAAACAACAAACAAAACATCATTCATGTAATGTCGACAAAACAATATTTCATTATTCCACGCCATTCCTTCTATACGAGGCCGAGAACATATTAAACTCTCGTAAATTTCGGTAATCTTGTAATAGTTTAGTATATGATC